GGGTAGTATTGGGTCATAGTCACGGCAATTCGGTGATGTTTTCGGCACCAAATCGCATATTTCCCGATAAAATATGACAGATGGAAGTAAATAACGTCTACAAAGGTGATATTTCACAGTAATAAAGAAGTATTTGGTTCATAACTGGGTCGTATGGGGTAGTAGTGGGTAGTATTGGGTGGTATTGGGTAGTATTGGGTGGTATTGGGTAATTAGACGCGCCGCCCGGCGAGTAGCCTCCCCTGTAATCTCTAATATTGGTGCAGAGTACAAGCCTGATTTTTTTACGGACAATCTGATTTGTTACATGGATATTCCACTTTAAGAATCTAGAGTAGCCTCCCCTGATTCATGTTCACGTTCTAAACTTGAACAAAGAGTGTCTCTTATCATGGACACGGTAATTAAATGAAGTGCTACAAGTTCATCTTCTGAACTTGATTACTCTGGACTTACCTGGCGTAGAACTGGTATTAGCAACATCACTGCATGGTGAGGGTACCCAAAATAAAATGGAACATTTTTTATATGTATATGTTCATGACGCAGCAATTTTTATTTTGCAATAAAATGTAATGGTATCATACCATTACATTTTATTGCAAAATAAAAATTAATATTTGTTCAAAATGTAGATACATACTATGTATCTACATTTTGAACAAATATCATCTTCTGTCAGTCATTTTCATAAACTGACTTATGCAGGGATAGAACGGCGTTTTTTTTTTTTTACATTTTCATGCCAGTATGAACGTAAATCAGTTACATCCATATTGTATGAAGCCCCCCGATTTGCGTTCATATTGGCATGAAAATTTTAAAGACGCCGTTAAATCCATATATTTACATTTTTACTATAGAACAGTTGTTTAATTTTACTTATTTGTTCTTAAATGATTAATCCATTACTGCGTTTTGTTCATGCGCCGTCCTTTAAACGATAATGGCGCAACAATTTTAACAAAAATATATATTCAGGTTCGGATCCAAGATTTTGCGATGAGTTGTGTTACACTATTTTCAGAATAAACCCCAGAACGGTAGACTTTTTTCATTTATATCAAAAACCGTTAGAGGAAAATATTTTGCTTATTCCACTCTTAAATAGACTTGCATGTTAGTGATTTTAAGTGAAATGAAAAATATCATTAAGTAGGGAAGGGCCATTTTCATATCCCGATTTCAGCCGACATCTCGGCAATATTTCAATGAAACAAATATTTTAAACTGTCATACTATTTCAATTTGTTCGTGACATTGACAGTTTGATGGACACAAAACATAAATTGGTTGTTCACGTACACACGTGGGTATACATGTACATTTAATTTTCATGTGATCTACATTCGCGATTATGACAAAACCAAATCGAATATGCGCTCCATGTCTACGTGCTCTAATATTACATTTAACCAGAGACATATAAAGCCATATACATCTCTTGATTTAACTCAGATGCAAAAGTTGTTTTGTTAAGGCAACTGCTCTTCGGCATATGAAATGTGTCAGGTGCACTGTGATCGTTCTCGGAAGAGCGAGAATTTACGTGATCTGTAGAAAAACCCGCCGCCTCAATCAACACAGAAAATAAGTGTATACCTTTCATTAGTGAAAACCAATTTCAGTACCCTGGACCTTTTGGTTATTGAGAAGAAGTTGTTAAGACATTTGACCCCTGTCACCTTGAAAGTTGGTCAAGCTCATTCATTTGAACAAACTTGGTAGCCCTTCATCCCAGCATGTTACAGGCCCAATATCAGTACACTGGGCCTTTTGGTTATTGAGAAGTCGTTTGAAGATTTTAACATATTTGACCCCTGTGACCTTGAAAGTAGGCCAAGGTCATTCATTTGACCAAATTTGGTAGTCTTTCATTTCAGCATGCTACAGGCTCAATATCAGTACCCTGGGCCTTTTGGTTATTGAGGAGTCGTTTGAAGATTTTACCCCTGTGACCCTGAAAGTGGGTCAAGGTAATTCATTTGAACAAACTTGTTAGCCCTTCATCCCAACATGCTACAGGCCCAATATCAGTTCCCTGGGTCTTCTGGTTATTAAAAAGAAGTCGTTTGAAAATTTTATCATATTTGACCCCTGTGACCTTGAAAGTGGGTTAAGGTCGTTCATTTGGACAAACTTGGCAGTCCTTCATCCCAGCATGCTACAGGCCTAATATCAGTACCTCTGGCCTTGTGGTTATTGGAAAGATTTTAACATATTTGACCAACGTGACCTTGAAAGTGGTCAAAGTCATATATTTAAACAAACTTGGTAGCCCTTAATCCCAGCATGCTACTGGCCGAATATCATCAGCCTTAGCCTCTTGGTTATTCAGAAGAAGTTGTTTAAGGTAAAACGTTGACGCCGGACGACGGACGGACGACGGACGGACGACGGATGCCGCACCATGCCATAAGCTCACTTGGCCCTTCGGGCCAGGTGAGCTAAAAATATGGTATCTCTGGTAATCTTTTTAAATGGTTTGAAAGTTATTCATCTGACAGAAAACAACGTGTTATTTTTGAAGGTTATGCTTCTAATTTTAAATCAATTTCTGCTGGTGTGCCACAAGGTTCTGTTCTTGGTCCTTTTTATTTCTTATATTAACACCAATGTAAAACTTTTTGCTGATGATACGTCTCTTTATGTAATTGTTTACAAAGATGTAACTTCTCCAGCTGAAGAACTTAATGATGATCTTGAATCCATCAATAATTGGGCAAAACTCTGGGAAATCAATTTTAATCCCCCAAAAAATATTGCATTAACTGTAACTAAGAAAAATAGACAGCATCCATTACTTATATTTGATAATCAGATCATCTTGACGTAGTATTTAATACTAATGGTTCTTCGGGTGATCATGTTAAATATATTTATGATAAATCATGTAAATTTAAATATTCTATGTATGCTAAAACATAAAATTGATAGGAAATCTTTAGAATTACTATATCTCTCCTTCATTCGTCCTACTTTAGAATACGCCTCTTCTGTCTGGAGTAATTGTAATATTGGGGAAGAAAAACTACTGGAATCCGTTCAAATTGAAGCAATGAAAATTATAACTGGTCTTAGAAGTGGTACATCTCATCAGAAATTATACTATGAAACAGGTTTTGAAAAATTAAAAGATCGGCGGAATAAACATAAACTTGTCTTAATGTACAAAATCCTCAATCACTTAACATTTGATTATTTGACATCATTGAACCTTATATTAATATTCAAGTCAATCACCATTCACGGACAAATAGATTTTTTAACATTCCTCATTCTACAACTTGTATCTACAACCGTAGTTTTTTTCCTGATGTCATGCGCCTATGGAACAATCTCGATCATTCTGTCACTTCATCTCTGACTATCAATTCTTTTAAAAAGAAAATTAACAAAATTCAAACACCTCCCAGGAACATTTCTGAAGACTTCATCACCTGTAATCCAAGAAAACTAAATATATTATTGTCAATTACGTAATAATGCTAGCAACATAAATTTTGATAAATGCAATGATCATTTGATAGTTGATCCATCTTGCTCCTGTGGCGCATCTTGTGAAAATACAGAACATTACTTCTTCTTCTGTCCACTTTATACTAACTATAGACATTTCATTACTGATATCATTGATCATTTTTGATATTCATCTGTTGATTTACTTACATCTAGTAATGCTTATCTTTCTACTAATGATAATTTCTATTTGACTTTATAACGAATACGAGTTACTTCCCTTACATCAGTAGTAAAAGTCCTAGTATCTGTTAAAATTACATGTTCGAATTTGACCTCTATCAAATACCGGAAGTTGATCTTTAATAGTCATTTTTGTCAATAAACCTTGTAGCCCATCATCCTAGCATGCTACAGACCAAATATCAATACCCTGAGCATTTTCGTTTTTGAGAAGGATTCTTTTGAAGATTTTAACATAATTGACACCAGTGACCTTGAACATGGGTCGAGCTAATTCATATTTTCAAACTTGATAGTCCATTGCTTGAGCATACAGAATAACACATTCGAACTTTGACCCCTCCCGAAAGTCGGAAGTTGACCTTTAATGGTCATTCTTGTGCAAACACTTGGTAGCCCATTCTCTCAGCATACTATAGTTCAAATATCAATACCCTGGGCATCTTCGTTATTGAGAAGGAATCCTTTGGAAATTTTAACATAATTGACCCCAGTGACCTTGAACATATGTGAAGGTCATTCATATTATCAATCTTGAAAGTCCATTGCTTAAGCATGATATCCAACAAATATCATGACCTTGGGTCACTTGGTTATTGAGAAGAAGATTTTTGAAGTTGTTACCCTGAAATAGCACATATGAAATTTGACCCCTAAATAACTCAAAACTTGACCTGGTCAACTCAATTTTTTTCTACCGAAAATATGCGCATATAAAGTGAATCTTGCGAACAATTTTCGAAATATTTTTGATTAAAGATTTTTTTGTTTTTTAAACATTTGACCTTTGTGACCTAGATAGTCGATCAAGGTCAACCATTGTTCAAACCTGATACCCAATCATCTCAGCATTTTAAATATGAAATATCAAGACTCTAGACCTTATGGAACTTTAGAAGAAGATTTTTTAAATTTGTTGCCCAATACTGCATTTGAAATTTGACCCCTACCGAAAACCGGAAGTTGACCTTTGACACAAAAATGTTTCCTTAAAATAGTTATTTATTTGTTATTCTGCATAACATACCCAAAGATGAATTAAATATGT